CAGCCCATGACCTTCCTCACCTCTCCCCTCCTCACTCCTCGAGGCACTCACAGATTTTTCACTTGCCATACAAAGATTTTTGGTAGATTCTAAAGAAAAAAGACGGATGAAATTGAATCAAGCTTTGTTACCTAGTTCAACAGCCGTCGAAGCTCACAAGGTCAATTGCCGGAATTCTAGGTGGTTGCCGGAGAAGGGAGCATGAACACAATGCAAGGATTCTTTGGGAGATTTTCGCAAAAGTGAACTTTTCAAAATGAAAGGAAGGAGCCTTTTATAGGCATACTAGATTCGTCCCAGCCGTTGGATCTTACAAATTCAAATCTAGGCCATGCAATGTTGAGGAAGCCAGAGTCATTTGAACCAACGGTCTTGATGAATCTGTGAACTCCACCGTGTGACCCTAATACGTCGCCTTGATGAACGAGAACCGTTGTCATCATTACCCTTTATGGCAAGAGAGGCGTGCCTTGGAAGCAAGGGGACACCCGCTTATGATTACCTTGGGAAGACGCGAAAGCCTTCAAATCATTGACACGGAGCCTAAGGCTGTCCCTTCAGATCCCTCAATCGCATCTGCTTAGCGTTGCAACAGCTTTCCACAGAGTTGCCTACCTATATCGCTTCGGCCAGTACATCTTAGCATTGCAACAACTTTCTAAAGAGTTGCCACTTATATCGCTTTGGCCAGTACATCCTCGCGTCACGGCAGCTCTTCTCATGTTTCCAACCTCCATCGCTTAGGATACACTACAGGACGCCTTGCATCAGCATCGACAGCCGCAAATGTTCACCGTATGATGCTCCGACGCTCGTCCCAATGCTTCCCAACTCAGCAATTGGAGTTAAAAGTCCTCATACTATATAAATATTCATATATAGACTTGTGGGACTATTGTTACGGGGCTGTGTCAGACCCTCCACCTCGACACCATGTGTTAGTAAAGATGGCCCACACGCCCGACACTTGGCACCGAGGTGATTACCTCATGAGATGAGCTGGCTGTACATACCGAAGTGATTATGTAAGGAACGAACTGAACAAGCGTCAGCGAACGAACCAGACTCATCCGCCAACACATCGCGGATGCAAAGGCCCGCACTCCGCTTCTAGGACGCTGCAACACCTCACCTTCCTCGCCTCGCCTCACCTCATCAAAGATCTCTTGCACAAAGACCCTCCTAAAGTCAAATCATTGACTGATGGGACGCGTGGCAGGACTCGAATGGTCAAATAATCCTTGTCAGAAATACTCAATGCCAGCCAGCCTATGGATGGACGATTAACACCTAGGATGGGACGAGTTCTAGAGATCTAGGAATACGTGTCTCCTCATCCAACGACCCTCATCTTCCCATTCTTGGTATAAATGCTCCCTCCTTATGCCTGAAGAAGGAGATAGAATTTTGGAATTCAATACACTACTATATCAAACACTTGAGTATTATCTTCTCCCCTATATTGTTGGCACTTTTATTATTGCATGTTCAATCACTTCCCGACGAGTTTTCTATCGCCGACGAACCCCTCTTGATTGAATTTCAACTGACTTGATCGTCGGAGTGCTTGTGGGCGCTCCCAACACCTCCAGGAAAGGCCAAGAGTGACTGACGGCTTGCCACATGTGTAGGGAGGAGTTGACTAGAAGACCTTCTTCTGTTGGCCACGTATCAGAGCCATTTTTCGAGGTTAACAATAATCAACATATAATAATGCTTTACATTAACAGTCTTAATAATGTTGGCCTTTTAAGATGGCATTTCAGGTCTCAAAAGGTCAATCATATGTTCAAGTCATTCGAATATAGCATATTAATTAAATATATGTTATTTTTAAATTCCATAAAAGTCTGCCTAGAAAGTTACCTTTGAATCATGCAACCATTTTAGGTTCATCATCCTAACATAAACTAAGTTATCCTAGATTTCACATTTCAAAGTGAATGAATTTGGCTAAAAGAACAGCTAGCTACTTAAGACTTTATATAATATATAATATTTAGTATCCATTAACACTTTTATAGGTGGGTTTAAGCTAAAGTTTTATGATTAACTAATATTAATTAGTGGTGATCTAAAATTAATTAGTCACAAACATTTGGATACATGGGACTGTCCATTTGTATGGTGTTGTTATTTTGCACCAACTTTTGTCTTAAATTTAAGGTGAATTTGGCCCACAGTTTTTCTCAACGCCATTAACTTTACATTTTCTAATGATACTATAATATTGTTTTGTCAAATATAAAATGCATATAACATGTTTAGTACGATAGACTATACATAATTTGATTGAATAACCGAAAAATTTATAACGTAATATCTCTTTATTCAGTTCAACGTATTAAGTTATGATGCATTATATTATCGAGTTCTTTTGGTGGGAGTCTTGATGTTGCCAAATATAAACTGTAAAGAACATATTTGGTATAATGGATGGTATAGAATTTGATTGAACATATTTAATTCAACATATTAAATACATTAATACCAACTACCTTGTAGTTTTATTAGCGTGTTCTTTTGGTGGAAGTCATGACGTTGCTAAGGAGGCGTTGGCCAAGAATAAGGATAAGATTTTCTAATCAATATTTACAAAGTTTGGTTGTCTATGCATGTATCTATGTGTGTATACATGCGATTCATAGTCATTTAATCATGATACTACTCAATGCGGATAATGGATTAGCAAATTCATTTTGATAAAATCTAGTTTTTTTTTTTTTTTT